CCGGGTAAAAAAAAAATTTTGAAAAAATTTTATAAAAATCAAGGGGGTACAGCCCGAATAGTCGCGGGCCGAATAGTCGCGGCCGAAAAGTCGCGACCGAATAGTCGCCGGCCGAATAGTCGCGGGGCCATATAGTCGCCGGCCGAATAGTCGCCAAGCTTTTTAATTAGATATTCGGATTTATAATCAATTAGAATGGTCCCAACGACCATCAAAATGGGACCATGCTGAATTATAAAACAGAAATTTCACAAAAAATTTTCCAAAATTAAAAAGACGGCCTAACTATTTTTCTTACCAGACTCGAAATTGGACAATTTATATGTCATTCGAAAGAGCTCGACGAGCTGAGTTGATTGACACCAAAATCAGCTCGATTGGATTATTATGAACAAAGTTATGGTCAACTGAATCTTCGCTGGAAAAACTGTTTTTGTGCTGCTACGGAGGGTAGGCCGGGCATGGTCTTCGCTACACGATGGCCGTGCTTCGCTGCGGTCGTGCTCGCTGCGCTCGCGGCGACCGTAGCGAAGCGGCGGCCGTCGTTCCGCTCGACATGCCCGGCTTCCTCCGCAGCGGCAAAAACTTTTTTCCGCGTAGGCCTTGTGGAAGGGGTGTTAATTAAAAGCTTGGCGACTATTCGGCCGGCGACTATATGGCCCCGCGACTATTCGGCCGGCGACTATTCGGTCGCGACTTTTCGGCCGCGACTATTCGGCCCGCGACTATTCGGGCGTGTCCCAAATCAAGGCTACAAAACGAAAAGCGACCTTATAATTTTTTAAACCTTGAAGGGTTATTCCTAAGGGTTTAAATTTTCATTTTTTCGAAGAAACATATTTGCGGATAAAATTTAGTGACTAGCAGAAAATTTCAATTATTTGTTTTCATAGGATTTTGAATAGGAAAAATAATTGTTCCGACTAGAAATGCCCTACTAAATTAAGCAAAAATTCTGAATTCGAAAGATATATGTCGGCGGAAAATTTCAATTTTAGGAAAATTTCAATTTTTCCGGAAAATTTCAAATTTTCCGGAAAAATTCAATTTTTCCGACGATTTAGGAAAATTTCATTTATTAATAAAGTTGTCAGTTGAGTCTGGGCTTGTTTTAGGTTTTTTGGGGTTATTTGTGTTTGTTTTTTCTGGGTTATCTATAAATTTCATCATTTAGACAATATCACCATGGATAAATTTGGATAAAGTTACGACACAAAAAACAAACCCCATAAACCTATGGGGAGTCGGCGAGACGCTTGTGCAAAACCCAGCGCTTCGCGCGGGGTTTTGCGGCACGCGTCTCGCGGGAGTCAACGGTCGCTGGGTTCTGCAATAGTAACAAAATCCTATTCCTTTTAACGATTTTCAGCATTGAAATGCCGACCGGTATGATGTTATAATGCCAAAAGCTTGTAATGCCAAAGCTTGTAATGCCAAAAGCTTGTAATGCCAAAACTTGTAATGCAAAAAGCTTGTAATGCCAAACCCCCAAAAGCTGTTGAAATGCCAAACCGTGGAAAAAAGCTTGAAATGCCAAATAAAAAAAACTCTAGGCCGGGAATGCGGGGAGGGGCCGGTACTACGGGGAATGTTGTTCAAATTGTGGGGAAAATTGTTCCAACGGTTGGGGGAGTTGTTCCGACTATAGGGAAAGTTGTTCCAACAACGGGGGATGTTGTTCAAATGACGGGGACGTTTGTTCCAGTGATGGGGGAAGTGTGATGTTGATCCCCCGTTGACGGACCAACTTCCCCCGTTGACGGATCAACATGCCTCGTCATCGGAACAACTTCCCCCATCGTCGGAACAACATCCCCCGTCATTGGAACAACTTCCCCCGTCATTGGAACAACTTCTCCCGTCATTGGAACAACTTCCCCCGTCGTCGGAACAACATCCCCCGTCATTGGAACAACTTCCCCCGTCATTGGAACAACTTCTCCCGTCATTGGAACAACTTCCCCCGTCGTCGGAACAACATCCCCCGTCATTGGAACAACTTCCCCCGTCATTGGAACAACTTCCCCCGTCATTGGAACAACTTCTCCCGTCATTGGAACAACATCCCCCGTCATTGGAACAACTTCCCCCGTCATTGGAACAACTTCCCCCGTCATTGGAACAACTTCTCCCGTCATTGGAACAACTTCCCCCGTCGTCGGAACAACATCCCCCGTCATTGGAACAACTTCCCCCGTCATTGGAACAACTTCCCCCGTCATTGGAACAACTTCCCCCGTCATTGGAACAACTTCTCCCGTCATTGGAACAACATCCCCCGTCATTGGAACAACTTCCCCCGTCATTGGAACAACTTCCCCCGTCATTGGAACAACTTCTCCCGTCATTGGAACAACTTCCCCCGTCGTCGGAACAACATCCCCCGTCATTGGAACAACTTCCCCCGTCATTGTAACAACTTCCCCCGTCATTGGAACAACTTCCCCCATCATCGGAACAACATCCCCCGTTGTGTTGGAATAACATTTGGCATTTCAACATATCTTGGGGGTTTGGCATTACAAGCTATTTTCCACGGTTTGGCATTTCAACATCTTTTGGGTGTTTGGCATTACAAGCTTTTTTCCATGTTTTGGCATTTCAACAGTTTTTGGGGGTTTGGCATTACAAGCTTTTTTCCATGTTTTGGCATTTCAACAGTTTTTGGGGGTTTGGCATTACAAGCTTTTGGCAATATAAAACGCTCCGTGCCGACCTACCCATTCAGTAGTAACACAAAAATTAAAAAAAACAAGAACTAAAAAACAAAATTAAAAAAATAAACAAAAATATTAAAAAAAGACAAACAAAGCAAAAAACAGAACATAAAACAAAAGAAAAACAAAAAATAAAAACATACTCAAAAAACTAAAAATAAGCGAAATAGTGCTAAACAGACTATTAAATTAATTTAAGAACTGAAATTTTCCTAAATCGTCGGAAAAATTGAATTTTTCCGGAAAATTTGAAATTTTCCGGAAAAATTGAAATTTTCCTAAAATTTAAATTTACCGCCGACATATATAAATTTAAGTGTTTTTGAAAAGAAAGAATTTGTCCGCAAATATTGTCCGCAAAAAACACTTTTAATATTAATCTAAAAATTTTCTAAAAACTACCTAAAAGCAATTTCATAAATATAATTAGCCCAAAACATCAAACTTTGTAGAGGCAACAAAGCCAATCCAACAATTAACGGTCTGTCCATTTCATCCAAATTTTTTAACCAATTATTCAATTCTGCACTTATTAATCTTTTCATTGGAAAAAGAATTGTCCCAATTAGAGAAGCCCACATTATTGGAGTCAAAAACATATTTAACATTTGATAAACAGCAAAGGCACATGCCAAAACTAATCCAAGCTTAAAAATTTTTTTAAGTAATGAAAATGACATAGACTAAAAATGAAGCTAAATTGTGGGAGAAGAAAAGTTGGGGAAGGAGGATAGGAGAAAATCGTTATTTGAGAAATTCATGTCTGTAGTAGGTTTGGACAGGGATTCCGACGTAAAATCAGGATTTTGGAATAACGATCCCGATCCCAGTCTCGAGCCAGGCTCGGATTATTAAAAATCGGGATTTGTTTTTCAGTCTCGGGATCAGAAAAATCCGGATCGGGATTCAAAAAAACCGGGATAGTCCCGCACGATGCCGACTGGGATCCCGATCCCGCCCAACTCTAGTCTGTAGTGAATTTATTTTTAGAGGAAGAAAAAATTATTTAAAACCCATATCTTTAAAAAGGAACAGGGGCAAGAATTTGAGCCAAAATGGGCAACCTCCCTTTTTTAGATTTTAGGATTGATTGAACTTAAATTCAGAAAAATTTATAAAAATACCAAAGAAAAAAGTAAAGTATTGTAAAAAGCAAATAATAAAGCTTTCTTTTGGTCTTCATTTACAGGTATAACGAAAGATTGTTGTCTTTGCATTTCTTCAATAGGCATTTTTATTTTTTGATAAAAAATATTAAAGCATCCCCTGAAATTTAAAAAAATAAAAAAATTAAGAATTAAAACAGGGAAAACATTCGATAAAAGTACAATTGTATTTGCTAAAGTACAATTGTACTTTTATTTTTTGAGACTCGAATGACTAAGACTTTTTTGTCGCCAAGATTAATTAAACCAGGGCTCGGATTCGTACTTTATTTGAAAGTACAGTACTTTAAAATCGACCTCCGTACTTACGAAATTGAATTTGTACTTTATTGAAAGTATGTACTTTAAAATCAACATTTTGAAAAAAATGGAAGAAATCTGGCTTAAGGACCTCCAAAATTCTCAAAATTTTCGCCTGCGGCGCAAAAAATGGAAGAAATCTGGCTTAAGGACCTCCAAAATTCTCAAAATTTTCGCCTGCGGCGCAAAAAATGGAAGAAATCTGGCTTAAGGACCTCCAAAATTCTCAAAATTTTCGCCTGCGGCGCAAAAAATAGATTTTTTGGCGCCTTCGGCTCCACAAAAAAGTGCATTGAAATTCACAAAATGGTAAGTTGAAACAAGAAATTATTAGAAAAGATTAATTTAAGAGAGAAATATAAAAGATTTGAGCACGAATAAATGTTTTCTAATTTAATTTTGAGTGTACTTTAAATGTGGAAATTTTGCCCCTATGTACTTTAAAATCAAGATTTTTGTACTTTTTATTGGCATTTTGTCGATCCGAGCCCTGAATTAAACGTCTCTTTTGTCGCCTGCTTTATCAGAAATTACCGTACTCATTTCGCGGAAAATTAAATATTTAAATTTTTTAAAAAATTTTTTCTCCCTTCACTAAAAAATATTTTTGCTAAAATTATTTTTAGTATTATTCTTAAAAGGAAAAGGGTTATTTATTTAGTATTAAGAGGGTTGTTTGTTTAATAAAATAAAATGATTATTTGACCTTGATAACGTTTTGGACATTTAAAAATTGATAACAAAATTGAGACATACATATGTATTTAGTATTATTTTTTTACTTTTACCTTAATCAATAAAAAATATTTTTTTAAAAATGTTTTTTTATTTATTTTATTTTAAATTATTTTTATTTTCCTTAATTTCTTTAAATAAAGGTTTAAATTTTTTTAAATTTCAAAATTTCCAAAATTCCTTTAGTTAATGGATTTTGTATGAAGACTATATGTTCTGCGGACACCGATTCTCGACACCCTGTAAATCGAATAATCGGTATTGGTTCTGATGGAATTAGTGGGGAATATAAAGCTTTGAGGTGTGGAGAGATTTTTTTTAACTTTATAATGAATAATATTTATAAGTTTTGAACATTCTCTTGAAGAAATCCGGTCTGGCGGTAGTACCGCGGTAGTACCGAAACGTGCCTAACACTAATTATAAGCTACTCGCTTAACACTTTTCATCTCTTCAAATTTCTAAACATCTGGCCACTGGGTGGGGAGTCTGCCAACACGATACCATCAAATTTACTAGCTGGATAATTGGGATCATACTTTGACAAGCTTCTACTGATAATTTTTTTTATTTATTTAAAGACGAAATGATCAAATTGTTGAAGCTGTTGATTTAAGTTGTAGAGAAGGAAGTTTTGTTTATTCTCCTTTTGAAGGGGAAATTTCTGCTTGGAGACCTTTTGATGGAAATGGGCAAGATGAAATTAGAACGGATGAAAATAAAAAGAATACAGATGGATGTAAACCTGACCGAGGAGTTAGAATTGATGGAAAAGGACAATGGCAGGGTATGAGGAGATTAATTTTTCTGTTGAATTTTTTTAAATTTAAAAATTGAAAAAATACTCTCTTAGGTAGTTGATGAATTTTTAAAAAGCCAAAACAGAAGAAGAAAAAAAAGTTAGCGAACCCTCATAAGAGAAACCCAGCCCTCCATCCGAATACAACTGCAGGGCAGAAATAGAGCAATGCATACTAGTCATCTTCGAGTCAAGAGTTGCGATTACCCTCGAAATCACAAAACTTTCCTCAAATCGTAATATACAAACGCCCCGCGGGAAGACCCCTCATTCCCTCTCCCACAATGGGAGATACACCGCAGTGTAACGCTTCTGAGGGTTGCAGTCTTGCGACCACTCCCCCTCCTAACAGGAAACGGCGGCAGGTAGTTCGCAAGGCGAAATAATTTTGGGACGATTATGTAACCGCCAATTATTTACTTCGAAAATATTTAATGAGGCGTAAAATCAAACTAAATATCCTTTTATTTATTTTAACTAATTCTAATTTACTCTATCTCTAATACATACATACAGTCAAGAAGCAAAGAACAAAACTCTGCCCGCTTCAGGACAATTGATGTCCCGGTAAAATGCCATCGCAGGCTAAAAAGACAAAATACCGTTAAAAACGCTAATTTAAAAAAATAGCATCGACGATTAATTTGTCAAAACAAGTAACTAACGAACTATTAACTGATAGTAATTAATTGGTAACTATGAAAAATTAATTGGCAATAATGAACAATTAACTTTGAATAACCAATTAATTGAATAACATTACCAATGATTGTTTATTGGTCAGTCACCGGTTTTGACCATATGTATACATATATTTGGCGATATTTTTTTCAAAAATGATATTTTTTGAAGGAATCCTGTATAAATAAATCTCTAAAAATATTTCTACTAATTATTCAAAATTAAAAAAAGGTTATCACGTTTTAATTGGCTCTGTTCGTTTATTCCGCTATAGTGGGCATGTTCATGCTGGACAGAAAATTGGTGTATCTTTGGATATTGAATGTGAATTGAAATTAAATAAACAGAAGATGCATAAACGTCCTCGAAAAGAAGAAAATTTTGTCAGAGTTTATTTACACAAAGAAGGACGTCCAATTGATCCAACACATCATTTAATTGATTGTTTGTTTTTTAATAATCGAGACTGACTCGGGATTATTAAGTAGAGGTGGGACCCCCGGAATAAGATATTACCATGCGGTGGGCCCAAACCCCAGAATGATGGAATACGGGAGGGGATATGCCCGGGACTTCCTAAGAGGAACCAAAGGGTTGATCAGGCCCCCGGTCGATCTCCTGCACCAGGCATACACAATTGAACACAATTTATATATTTATTAAATCCAAATATTAAAAGCTTTATTAAAACATTATTTATTTCATTAAAGTGAATGAACAATAAGACACTTGCAAGGTGATTACAAATCCTTTTAAATGTGTGAGAAAAGTGGGAGGGAAATGAATAATAATAAAATGACTATAAACTATAGGAAACAAACTCCGAGAATACCTTTGACCCTTACACGTCCCTTTCCCATCAAGACCGTCCCTGGTCTTAATCTAGACTTAACAGACTTTATTTTATTTTTCAAAATTTAATTTTTCATCGTTTCCCAAACTACTTAAATAATGACCATTCACATTTATTTTCTCAATCGATAAGCACTCTGGTGAGATGGCGAACCTAATTTAAATTTCTTCTTTATTTATCACATTTCTTTTTGTGCTCTTCGAGCATATCTCTCCTTTTTCCTTTTTTGGACCGACCCTGGTCCATTTTTAGTGCTTATCGATTATTTCATGAGAAATTTCACTTGATATTATTAAGTAGTGGGGTTTGATATAATTGTAATTGTAAGAGTTTCAGAGTCTGTTTAGTCTAGTTGGGGTTGTATTCCTAAAATTTCTTCAGGTTTCAGGTGAGTATGTTTCCTTTTGTATTAAAATATGGGTACGAGTAAAAATGCATATAAATTTCAAAAATTAAAAATAAGGATAAATTGTGACATTGAAATGTTTGTGAAATTATAAAATAAATTAAACGGGTAACGCTTTGAATAAAAATATAAATTCATAAATCAATTGTGTGAAATAAAATTTAAAAAACCCAGAAAACTACCGAAGTGTTTGAAATGTGATAAAAAAATTGGGTACAAATGAGTAAAGTAAAACTTGTAATAGAAAATATTTAGAGAATTGGTAAAGGAATATTCTCAAAATAACGTACAAAATAAATTTGGGTATAAGTGGTTTGGTTGAAAGGTTAATAGAAAAAGTTTTAAGTATTTTGAATAAACATTTAAAATTGATGTAAAAGTTTTGACATAAATAACATTTGATTTGTGGGTATAAATGGGTATATTTTAAAAGTTTGCAAAAACAATAATTTTGAAGTTGGGAATTATATAATAGAAGAGCATAAATAGTAATTTAAAAAAAAATTTGGGATATTTTTAAATGTAATTGTGAAAGATTCTTTAAAAATTAATAGAGTAAATGTAAATAATTTGTGAGGGAGTAAATCAATTGTAAGTCCTATAAATATAATTGTAAAATTTGTAACAATTTAAATGAAATTTGACAATTTAAGAATTTAAAATGTTAAACTAATAAATGTATTAAATTTAATGAATTAGTGGGAGTTTAAGCTTAAAAGTATAATTATAAAATGTACTTAAGTGAGGGTAAAAATTTTGTAAAAAAAATGACAAAATGTAATATAAGTGGATTAATACAAATTGGCATAAAGTTTAAAAAAATTTAAGTATATATTAACAATAGGTAAGAAATATTGGGAAAACATTTTGATTGACATTTAAAATGTATAAATAAATGAACTATGATTAAAATTGAATTAATAAATTTAAATAATTTTGATTAAGTGAAGAAATTGAAATTATAGGTAAGGCATGTTATAAAAAAATTTAAGATTAATAAAACCAAAACAAATAATGGGAAAGATTTGTAAATGACATTACATTAATGAATAAGATTCAGTTTAAAATAATTAATAGGAAGTGAGAATGTGTATTTAAGTACAAAAAAAATTTAATTGATTAAAAACACAAATTTAATATTTTCCTCCTCTGCCTCTCCAACTCTCATTCTTCCTTCAAGTATTCCAATTACAATTTCGAGCAATATGTCCAGTGCGCCCACAGTTGAAACATGTATTGGTCCTGCTCCTCTCAAATGTTGTATTAGCATATTCTTTCCAGTTTCGTTGAGCTGGTCTTTTCCTGTAATTTGATAAATTAGTATTTATATTATTTTTATTAAAATTTAAGTCTTTTTCAAACCACTCATTATCTCTAGAATTCCTATCATTTCTGCTCCAATTATTAGTTGATCCAGAAGTGCGGCCGAAACCATATGAAGATGTTGAAGGCTGTTGTTGTTGCTGTTGAGGGGGATACTGCTCATCCACAAAGTCACCGACCATCCGACCCGACGAAGACAACAATTGACCGAACCTATCTCGCATACAACTACCCGACTGGAGGACTTGAAGATATTCCGGACCGACAATTTGAGTGAACTCAGTTGCACAACAGATGAACCGATTCCAGATAATTCTACATCGAAGTATTTCAACGTCAGCTATAACGAGGAGAGCATGCTTAGCACGACTCACGCCACCGTGTCATCCTTGAGAAACTCCGAAGAGTCTCCAAGGCCATCAGCTCTACTCGAAGACCTAGTTGTTACACAGTATGGCCAAAACATTCCAACCCAAATCCTCAAACTCTTTTTGGAGAGACTCTTTCTGAAAAGTACATAAACAAATAACAGCCAGAGAAATCGGTGGAAATTTTGTCGTACAACGCAGAAATCAATTTAATGGCAGAAGCCGAATGTTCATCATTGCACAAAGAGTGAGAAGTGTTGTCCTGTCTACAAGTTTCAAGAATATCAAATAGCCAGAGAAAAATGCTATTGCGTTGGAATCCGCCATCGCATGACATCAGAGGACCTCCTCCAACTTCTTGGCTAGCTTTGCCAAAGGCAAATTAGCTGCAGCTACAACTGCAACCTTCACATTGTTCAAAAAGGAATCATAACTGAATCCAAATGAGTCTTTCAAACGCCTGGTGGCGCCTATTGGAAAACAAACTTGAAATCATCTTCCAAGAGAATTTTAGCGGTCTTCTGCTGTTTTCCGTTTAACATATTCATTAGTGGGTGAACAATGAGGACTGCCGAGGCATTTGGTTCTTCATCATCAAAATCTGTTTCAAATTCACGAGCTACTAAGGCGAGGAGGAGTTCACCTTGATTCGTACTCTGGCTGACAACATCGACGGTTAGTGTTGTTCAAAACAATCACGTCGACTCTCAAGACCTTTGAATATTAGTGGATGACAAACAATAAAACCGCCATCTTTCGCGTCTTCGAGTTCCTGCTCAACATCCCTGTTCTTCCGCTTTTGAACATTAATAACCTTAACACTTTTCCAAAAATCAAACTTTTTATTCCCGAAGGACTGAACTTGGGAAAGATTTATCTTTTTAACAACTCTCACTGCAAAATGGGCTTCAGTCACCTCAATTCCAAATAGCTTCTGTCACCTCAATTCCCAGCTCAATCTCTTCATCATCATCTTCTTCCTCTTCGTCTTTTTCTTCTTTATCCTCATTATTTTCTTCTTTCTTTTCTCCTTCATCCTCTTTACCCATTTCGTCAACCTCATTCATTTCCATTTCTTCTGGCCAATCTTCTTCAACAACTTCAATCCAATCTCTGAAGATGTTGACCCTTGGTTCTTCGTCATTTTCAATATTCCTGGGCTCTTCTTCTTCCTCATTAATAATATTTTCTTCTTCCATTTCATCTTTCTTCCATAATTCAGGATCCGGTACTTTGTTGAAGCACATCTCAAAACTATTGAAAATCTAGGAAATTTGTTTAATTAAAGGAATATTATATATTTTTTTATATATTTTTTATATTAAATTTAAATTTTAAATCCATTTGATAGCCGAAGCAATTATAAGTATTATCTGTTTTTTGGGCTTTTTCTTAAATTGTATCTACTTAGTCCCTGGCGAACTACTACTTCAACCTGACTACCTTCTGCTACTTCTGAATTTGGCTCAGCTACTTTACTTTGCGAGAATCCTGGCGTGTTAACTATTTATTCTGCCCCAGATTCTTCTAACGCTTCCAACTCTTCTGCTTCTAACCTAGGAGTTGTGCAAACCGGTTCAGTCGGGAGTGGCTCTATACATTTCTTAAGCTGATTAAATTGGATGAGCCTATTTTACCAGCATAATTCCGAAGAAGCACTCTATCGCCGATTGTTACAGTGGGATTCCTAATCTATCTGTTTTTGACCTTTGCTGTGCCTCAAAATTGGCTTCCGCTGCATATTTCCAAGCGCTTCGCAAAGAAACTATTAATTTTTGTTTAATTTCTTGTGTATCATTTGATGCTATAGGATCTCTAATTTTAGGATCAAGAATTAAATCAACGCAAAAGATTGGATCTCTGCCGTATATCAAAAGGAATGGGGTTTCATTTGTTGAATGGTGGACCGAGGTGTTATAACAAAAGTTGGCGAATTCAAGATGTTCATCGAAATCTGGCTGGTCTTTAGTAATACACTTAGCGAGAATATCGTGGAATTTTCTGAATGACCTCACAGTCACTGCATTGCCTTTGCTCCAATGAGGTATGGCATACGTTTTATTAATGTACAACATTGCACAGACTTTTGAAAAACTCTGAAGTAAATGCCAAAGCATTGTCAGTAATTAATTCCGTGCAGCCGCCGAAGAGTAAATAACAATTCCTGATAAATGCCGAAGCAAAGGTACACTTTTTGGGGCTTAATTTTAAATTAAAACGCCTACATCTTTCAAAAACACTTCTGAGGGCCTTAATATGCTCATCAAAATTTTCAGACTTAGTGAAAATTAATATATCATCAACATAAGCAATCACATTTTCAAGTCCAGTAAGTACATGATCCATTATTCGCGCGAACGCACTAGTAGCATTTTTAAGACCGAATGGTAAATTTATCATTTGATGAATTTTATCCTCAGTAATTATACACATTTTCTTGAGGCCCTTTCACTAAGCTTAATTTGCAAATACCCGCTAGCAAGGTCAAGAGATGAGTAATATCTACAATTACCAACTTTTTCTAAAATTGTTTCAAGTCTTGGGAGAGGAAAGTGATCAGCTACTGTCACTTCATTTAATTTTCTAAAATCAATGCATGGCCTAAGCCCACCATCCTTTTTCTGAACTAATACTATGTTCGATACCCATGGGGTATCAGACTCAACCATCACCCCTGAGGCTAATAGCTGGTCGATATGCTTTTGCAATTCATCTCGATACTTAAACGGTACCCGATGAGGCCTAGAGGCAACTGGTTCCTCAGATGTTGTAATTATGTCATGCTCGCCTGCTGTACAACTCCCTATGTCATACTGGCTTTTACTAAATATATCTTCAAATTCTTCACAAAGTTCTTTTAATTTATTAAGGTCTTCACCCTTTACAGTGGCTTTTTCGAAGTCAATCTTGTAAGTTGGATCAATAGTCACCCCTGACTTCCCTAGAGAAAATATTTCCTGTGTTTCCTCACTAAAGTTAGTTTCTGCTAAAATATTTTCAGATTCAGTTTTTAGTACTTCACTTGCTAACCCTAGGGTCCTTCCTTTAAATAATCTTTTAGTTGTGCCTGTTGGATTGGCTAAAATAATTTGCACTACACCATCCTTGGGATTGGTTACTACTGGAACAAAACTTAAACCTTCTTCCTCAAGTCTATCATCCATTGAGTGAATCCAGATATTATGCCTAAGCAATTCAGGGAAATTTATTTTGGCTTTTATTACACTGCTGATTAGGTCTTATTTCACAAGTCTCTAATGCATGTATTTTCAGATTTCTGAGAGGCCTATTTATTCTATTTTCAATACATATTTGGTTTCCTTCTATACAAAACATTTTATTTTTCAAATCTACAATAAAAGGAGGCAACTGCGCTAGTGCGTCGCACCCCATAATAAAGTGATAATCATGGTTATCCCAGTGGAATTTATCATTAAAAAGATGAATTACAATTTCAACTACTACTCCAGCGATTTTTAATTGCACACTAGTGGCCTGCTTTGCACACATGGAGTGCTCTGAGGCACTTTGGAGGTATGTTTCAGTTCGAAAAATTTTTGTACCCAACCATTCTGCTAAAGCAATGTTAGCTACCGAGGTAATTGCTCCAGTGTCAATTAAACATTTTACAGGTACAGTATTTAAGGGGACATCAACTATTACTGTGTTAGCACTCGCTCCTAATGTTCCTATAAACCCGCTAGTTCTGTTAAATCCTAAAGTAGACCTAGGTCTTGTACTTGTGGTGTTTCTTGGTAAAGTGTTTGCATTTACAGTATTTCTTATTGATGGGGGCCAAGATATTGACAGTGGCCTATTTATTGGCTCTTCATAAATGTTATCTAGTTCTACAATGGGTTCTGGTACACGTTGAATGTCCAATCTTCTCTGTGGAATCGAAGCTTTTGGTGTTTCAGGGCCAAATATTAGTCTACCTAGACGTCCATTTCCAGCATACATTTCAGCAATAATCATTGCGAACCTTATTCCAAAGTCTAGTGCTAAAATTACTACTAAAATTGAGATAATAGTTTCCCAAATGCTTTTATAGTCCCCTATTATTCCCTTTTCAATTTGATTTTCAACTTCCTGCCACTCATTAGACATTGACATGGATATGATAGAATCTTTTTCGTGAATTTGGTAAGTCATTTGACTTACTTTTATTAAATTACTTACAAATGCATGGTTCTTAATATCTGTCATGTTCAATAAAACTAGCTGATGAAACGCATGCGACTCAATATTTGGAATCATGTTAGTAAAATTAAATTTGGCTTCAGGCCATAAAAATATCCTTGGTTTTACCGAAGTAATTCTTCCTTCAACTTGATCAACTTCTAAGACTTGATCATTAATCTGTATAATTATATTCCTAAATTCTTCACAGGGACCCTTTTTGGATGTTGGGGAAACGATCATTGTTACTGGATCGACAAAAGCCAGCTGCTCCTTGCTCTCAGTTTTCAAAATAATTGGCAAGAATTCAAAACATTGGTCTAATTTAGTGGGAGAAAATTCATAATCTTCTTTTTCTAGAGGTACACATGGCCAAACTTTCATTAAAGATCTGGCTGACTTCTTTGCAACTAAATAGGAATTGGAAAAGAGCGAACGGGCCAAGTCAGTTGGATCCGACATGTAAGTAGATTCTACCCAGTGCTTTACCATTTCAGTAAATTCACAAAATGACCTAATTGATTGCGCGAACGCAAAATTTACTGCTTTAGTATGAACGGCATCTAAATATGTGAGCTGCGACGCTAACTGAGAAGAGGTTACAAGTCCGTCAGAAAATGTTCGCTTATAAGCTCTATCCGTATTTCGCTTCCTTCTAGTAAGTTCCAAGGTTGAGATTACTATCGATCCTAAACCCTGATCAGAGACTGAAATGTTCTTCCCACAGTCATGAATGAATGTTTCAAATGTTACATCTGCCTTCTTTTTCTCCGATTGGAATAAAATTACATTTCCTTTGATTGTCCACTTCCCAAATTAAAACGGTTTTATCTTCCAATATACAATTACCCTTAGTATAAGGACAGTCCCTAGTTAATCCTAGCGGCGTTACAACCTCTTCTGCACCGAAATGCGAATCAATTCTGCTCTCAAATAGGAAACAGTTTTCACTCGAAATATTTTTCCAGGAGAATGATCCCATAAACCACATCCTAGGAGTTAAATCAATTTTATTTTCAGTTTGCCAAAGCTTATTATTATCCTTAAGAATGCCGAAGCTACAACTATGATGCTTTATCATCTGATTACACTCTTCTACAGACAAATCTAACTCTTCATGAATTAATTTTTCTTCAACTGGGATTCCTTTTATTGTTGTATATTTTCTCGCATTTTTCTTTATCTTTCTACAGGCCCACGCTTTGGTTGAAAATTCAGTACTATTTGGGACATAAATTCTTCTTCTTTCTACTACCGGAGTATGCTTAGCTGTTAAATTAACCATGGGACAGCTGGGAATTTCAGGCATTTCCCAAATTATTGCCTGTTTATGTGTCTGACATATCATTGGTCCCTTGGGAATTAATACAGGATTAATCGCAAATGTACTACAAAACATTGCTATTAACAAGAGAGTCGTTCCCATAAGTGAAGGTATTCTTACTCTGCGACCTTTATTTTCCCAACTAGGAATTTTATTTGGTTCACCCTTTTCATTAGTACTTTTAGCTTTTTCAGGTGTCCTACTAGACTGTACTGGTTGCAATGACCTTATATTCCCTCGATGATTAGCCGAAGCATGGTTTGCATTCATTCTCATTTCATGCATTTGAATTACTAAATTATCTAGCACTTCTCTAATTTCTTTATTTTCTCTATTTCTATTATCTCTCTGATAGTTATTTCTATTATTAAAAGAATTATTTTGCCTGCGTTCTCTACAATCGTATTGATCATGCCCTGTTCTGCGGCAAAAATGGCAGAACGGTCGGCTATTCCACCTTCTGTCATTTTGTGGAAGCCATTGATTTCTTGCCTGATAGCTTCCATAACCTAATCTTTGCGCGTTGCTAGATGTTGCGTATCTGTTTGAAACGTTCCCATTATATCCCCTAGAGGGTTGCGGACTATTATATGTACTTATTGGTCTCCAAGTTGTGAATCTTCCTTTAGGCAACTGCTGACTAGACATATCTGCAATAGCATGGATACCATCATTACCGGTTCTTCCTTCCCTTTCAGAAGCAACTTCGAGTTCCTGTACATAGGCAGTGAGCTTATCAAAATCTTTACGTCCAATTAATGGGCCTACCATCTGAAGGGTTCTTTGAAATTCAGGCCTAACTTTTTCTGTAAAGCATCTACACATTATTTCTTCTCGTACTTCCACTGGTATATGAGGCGTGGTTGCGTTTACTAAAGGTACTAATCGCTTAATAAAGTCACTAACTAGTTCACCTTCCCTTTGGTAGCAAGCTGCTAACCTTTTATGAGCGAGCTCTCTGAAATGTGGACTGTCTAATTTTGCTCTAATATTTTTAATTGCATTCTCTATGGGACTTCGTTCACTTGGCGATAGGCTTTCAAAAATGTGTCGGGCTTGCGTGCCTAAGTTTAGTTTTAGTCTATTTATTTTATCAGATTCTGTCCAGTTTGCTCCATATACATCAAGATAATCTAGAAATCTAATTGTCCAGTCATCGAAAGAGGATGCAGTTTCTCCATTAAATAATTCTAAATGAGATCCCGAATAGGTTCCTTCACATAACACATTTAATTCAGAATTGCAACTTGTGGATTGTGTTCTTTGATCATTATTAGTACTACATTGTGTTTGACCCTTTTTATTCCTGAGGGAGCTTGTTGCTACGTCTATTCGGTTAAACGAACCAGCCAATTGAGCATGCTTCGGCGGGGGCGGAGGAATCTGCTCTGGACGCTTATTTTGATTGACAAACCTATTTGCATCACTATTTCTTAACTCATCATATTCAAGATTATCCCTACCTTCTAGTTCACTTCTAAAATTTTCAATCCTTTCTTTAGCTTTATTCATTTCTTGCCCGAGGGCATCAACTCTTTCCGCCACTGCCTCAAAACCCTTATTAGTACCTTTTTCTATTTCATCCATATATTTTTTTAATATTTTTTAATTTTAACTATTCTGTTGATTTAAAATTTTATTTTGTTTATTTTTATTTTCTTTTAATTTGTACGTATTTATTACACTCAAATTATATATAGGTATATATTTTTAAAATTATATTTGGTTAATTTATTATATCTCTTGTTTTATTATTTTATAAAAAAACTTTTTTTTTTTATTTTTTTTGACTTTTTAAATATTAAACTTACTTTCTATAACCAACAGAAGACAGACAATAGCCGAAGCCAAAAAAATTAGAATCCAATCAATCAACAAAGAACTAAATTAGGGGGAAAAATTATTTTTATTTTTTAAACTTTTTTTTAATACCGTATTTGCTA